GTATTTGAAATGTAGGTTAGTTAATTTATGGAATACCTATATAATGCGAATAGTATAAAATTATTTTTTGGATATCAAATTTGTCAAGTTACTGAAAACTGTTACATCCAATATACGGCATTGTATACACGCAAACGCACATGCACATWCCATATATTATGTTTGTGTTGTATACTTGATATTATTTTATTATTTGTATCACAAATATTGCTTTCGGGAAAAGTAATATATTATACTGAACCGTGCCGACTGTTGCAGTTTTATTTAATGAAAATCGTTTTGTTAAATCAAAAATGAAGAGGCCAATATTAAAGACAAAATGTTTCACATACCAAGCAAGTAGGTACAACGATACATCATGTTTTATGGTCGTAGTATATCCCAACTTATTATATCGGTTTCAAACAAAATTCGATAAAAGAGCAAAAGTTTGTGGATATCCTTATGCCGCGGTCGCCTTCGTATATACATAACTTTCCAACCATACTACCCCGCCACCAAGCTTATCATTTTAATTGTATCTCCGACTTTGGCGTTAACGATTTTTCTCCCTCTGCTTGGTCCGTTTTCATTAATTTACTTTCTTACGAGTATTAAAGAAATTAAATRCTTTTATCCTCTCATTTAAAGAATATTACTTTTTTCTTTGATGGTATTTATTTCCTATAATAATATACAATACGATGCAGAACTTTTTGTGGTGCCCTCGAATTCACGCTATCGCAAAAACGCAAATGTCCATTTTACATGAAATATGTATGCAGATCATAATATATTATCGTATTATATTTATGCTGTTGACGTTTGTCAAATTATCAYCGCATCGCCAATTTATCGTCAATAGTGCACTGAGATGATTAAATGTGTTAAGTTCAATTTCAAATCGAACGTCGTTAATATATTATTATGAGTTGTGACGAATCGATGCCAAGATCTACTACTACACGGTAATGGATTTTATCTATGCATATATAGACATATAGTATATACACATATTGTTATAATAAACCGTGTTCATATAGGCTATATAGGGATACGTATTTGGTAATGGGACATTCTTGAAAGCCCTTTGCGTTTTAAAACTTGAGTAGATAAATGGCTTTACATGTAGTACCCACTAATAAGTGTTGTATTGTTCGTTATGATCTCGAGTATATTATTATACTTAATGTTTATAGTTCAGTGCCCATCAGTTGATATTCAGATTACATCTCGAAAAAAAATAAATATATATATAGGTATWTATTTATATATTGTAGTGTCTAATGCATCTTGAAGAATTAAKATTTGTCTCGTCGATTTTTAGTTTGCATAAGCTAAATTTATAAAACGTTTTATYGAATTTAAACTAAAAATATATAAAGTATAAATATAACATGACCTAAATAATTTGCATWTATTTGGCATTTTCAGAAATAATGCATTAAAGAAYACAATTATCTAAATTCCAAACAGATAGGTATTTTTGATTTTTTTCTGAGCATGCCGATAATGTGCTGAAATCAACCAACATGCTAGATATACGCGTAGCTGCAATTAAATCTGAATATTATTAATTAATGTAATTATGGCACAATTTTGTTGAATAAACACTTTGCAAATTCATCAAACACGCTGAAATATACAATCCCTCACAGTTAACGTTATATAATTATGTTATATTACTTTATTTTACGTAAAGTAATATTGTTGCCTGACGCATAGTCTAAGTATTGCGTTGCCTTTCGCGTTTCTTTTGATATTATTATTATTAATTACTTAAAAATTAAAACTGACATTTTTGTGTGGTCTATTGTCTAAGATAGCGAGGAAGGTGAGGACAAATTACATGAGATAGAAAGTTTTGGGTTAAATGTTCGTAAAACCAGGGTCCCGCTGTCAGAAAATAGCCGAAACGTCATCAATAAATTTCAGCTGCACATAACACCATCAATCACCTTTCCCTAGAAAACCAGACGTGACCAGAAAATCTGCCACTCTATTCCTTTAAAAAAAAAAGAGAGAAGGGTTGGTTTAGTTGTGGATGATGAGGAAAAACTGAAGATGAAGGTTAGATGCGGTTATATAAGAAAATTGTACGAAKAAGTTGTCCTGCTAACGACAGATCGCAGAACTACTGATGAATCATTATACGATTTATGACATCTATGGTTGACTTGTCGTCAAAAATAAGAATACAAAAATGGTTTTATTTATGCTGAACAATATTGCAATATAAAAYGCTGTCCGKTTCAATTATCTATAAAATAAGTAATTATTTTTAATTGAACTACTTATAGAAATATTTGATATGCACTACAGTTTATAAAATTATGGTTCAAAATAATGTATTATACGTTGACAATTATATCACCAATTTCGATCAGTAAATATATTAATGTAATCAAATTATATAAGCTTATAGTACCTAATTTATTGTTTAAAACTAAATGTCTTTTTTTTTTTTTAAACATAAAAGTAAAAATAAAATT